GGGGAGGGAGCGAGGGGGGCAGGGAGAGACGCCGGCGAAGCCCGCGCAGCCGGCGCGCGTCTCGCCTCCAAACCCGGGCCGCCGAGGCCGGCGCGGGGCGGCCGCCTCCTGCCCGCGCTTCTCGGGTACTCCCTGCTCGCCGCTCCTGGGCGGCTGCGGCCCGAGGCGGGGGTCCGGAGCGTGGCCGGGCTCCCCGCTGGGGACACAGGGCGAGGGAACGGAGGGAGAGTAGGTCCTGGGGGGAGAAAAGAGGCTTGTGTCTCCCGCCTCTAACAGTTTGGGACACGTTTGAGTGAAGGGGAGGGGGAGGACTTGCCTTCAGCCCCCCTCGTCACTGTTTTCACTTGGGGTGTCACGATTCAGAATTGCGGGGATTATCAAGGAGGAGGGTACTTTCTTTAGTCTAACCACATTCAACGAAGGAAATTTTGCCCAAGGCCTAGGTGAGGGAAAGAAAGAATATTCCAACACCCGTCTAGTTTCAGAAAAGAGATGTACGATAGTTTTGAAGGACTGTTTTTCTTCTACCGTGTCCTCATCCCACCCCAAGTGAAACTTTTGGAATATGAACTCGATATTTTTCCGTTCTCCTCAAGCCAGTTTGAACGAGACAGGTTTGGAACCAGTGATTAACTTTTTCAGTTTTACTGGAACATCTGGAGAAAAAAATCCTAGGAAAGGGTGAGTTAAGGCAGATAAAAAGCGCCACCTTTCTCGGAATTAATTCAGAGAGAAAAATCTTTCCTGCTTCCTGGCAACTACAGCCCAGCAAATACAGCACTAAGGCAACAGTAGCAATTAGGACAGAAATTGCTCCTGGCTGAAGAAGACTAATCTTATCTCTGTGATGAGGTCTGTTACTGGTTGCTGCTTAATTTCTAAATGGCGTTAATTAAATGCTGCTACAATTCAGTGTTTTCATTTACTAATTCAAAAGGCAGTGAAGCAAAAACGATTTTGGGGGGACTGTAAAGATTTTGTGGCACTAAAGCATTGATACCTGTTTTTCCTTGCTCTAGAACAGCATTTTAATGTTAAGACTAAGAGGTATGCTGTTTCAGAAGAGCCAACTTTCTGTTAATTCATTTTGCAGTGGGCATCATTCTCAAAAAAATATCTTGTAAATAAAACTAGGACTGCCTGCCATTCCCTCAAACAAGTGTTGGCTCTCTGTTCTTAGCTAATTGTAAATTCAGATATCCCAGAAAAATGCCTTCTTAGGAATCCAAGCTAATGATGTCATAATTCCATATTGTTGTAATACTTTGGCTTTGTTGCAATAAGCCATAGCACGGTAACTTGACTCTGGAAGTTTAATTATTACAGATCTGATCTCATGCTTTAGATTTGCCAGTCTTCATGTATAGAAGGCTTATTTACCTGATGGTGTTTTTGTGTGGTAGGAAGGTGATTCTAAAGTGGTTCTCTTAAAGCTTTTCCTAGTAGATTAAGACACCACTTCTCAACGTTAGATATTTTTGTTAACCTGAATAAAATCCTGGTTGTATAACCACTCTCATCTTCAGGACAGACAATCTGGTAATGTTTTTTAAAATGGCTTCAAATGAACGTAACTGAAAGGAAGGGAAGGAAGTTGTGTGGTTAATTTACATGACAACAGCCTTATAGAGTGGGTAACAAGTTGAACGAGTTGCTGGGTGTAAAAAATGCTATCTCTGACATTTAGTTGCTCGCCTTACTGGTTTTACTTTTAAGGTATCAGATCTTCAGAGTATGTAATTAGACCCGTGCCAATGTAGGACTTTGTATCTGATTAAGTTTGTTGTTATGTGTGGTCAAGTCAGCTCCGACTCCTGGCGACCCTGTGAATGAGTGATGTCCACAATGTCCTGTCCTCAACAGTCCTGCTCAGCTCCTGTGGACTCATGCCTGTGGCTTCCTTTATGGAGTCAGTCCATCTCATATTTGGTCTTCCTCTTTTCCTGCTGCCTTCTATTTTTCCCAGCATTACTGTCTTTTCCAAAGAATCCTTCCTTCTCATGATGAGCCCAAAGTAGGACAGCCTCAGTTTTATTATTTTTGCCTCCAGTGATAGTTCAGGCTTAATTTGCTCTAGGACCCACTTGTTAGTCTTTCTGGCAGTCCAGGGTATCCATAGAGCTCTCCTCTAACACTGTATTTCAAATAAATCAATTTTTTTTCCTGTCAATCTTCTCCAGTCTCCAGCTTTTGCACTTCTACATAGTAATTGGGAATACAAGGTTGTGGATAATCTTGGCCTGAGTCTCTGACGCTTTCTTATGCTTGATGATCTTTCCCAATTCTTTTATTCCTGCCCTCCCAAGTTTCAGTCTTCTCTTGATTTCTTGGCTGCAGTCTCCATTTAAATTGATGACTGAACCAAGGTAAACAAAATCTTTAATAATTTCACTGTCTTCATTAAAGTTGTATATTTCTTCTGTAGTCAGTGAGGCCTTTTCTGGACATTCAATATAAAATTGTAACCCTCCCCAGTACTTCCTTATCCCCCTTCCCTGCTTATTTCTCTTAGCACTTATCACTATTTCACATACTCTATAATTTACTTATTTGTCTCATTTATCTCTTGATGGCAGAGATTTTTGTCTATTTTGTTTTAGTTCTCCATATAACAAAAGCTGTTTCTCAGCTCTGCATCCACTCTTAGGTGACACCACTTCTTTCTTGTTTATTTTTTCATTGACCCAAACATTTTCTGAACACCTGCTCTGATAGCACGTTGCTAGGCTCTGGAACTATCAAAATGAAGCAACCCCTGCCCTAGCCAGTCTTCTGGGAGTCTGTTCTTCCCTAATGGATATTTAGATTGTTCTCATTTTTTTCCTATTACAACAAATGCTACAGTGACCATTTTTATTTATGTTTATTATTATTTTTTTTAATTGGAATACTTAGAAGTGGAATTGCTGGGTTGTGGGGTGTGCACATTATAACTATTACTAGATATTGGCAAATTATTTTCTAAAACATTTGAGTTCCCCTTTCCCTACATCTTGGTCAATGCTTTGTACTGTCAGACTTGAAAAAATTTACCTGTCAGGTGGGTGTGAGTTGTATCTCATTTTGTTCAAATTTGCATTTTCCTGATGGCTAGTGAGATTCAGGTGTCCTGTATTTCATTCATATGAATAGTTTAACTCATTTTTCTATTGGGTAGTTTGTCTTTTCCTTATTAGTTCCTTCTGTAGTCTGGATGCTAATTCTTTGTTGTATATGTTGTAAATATCTTTCTCCAGTCTGTCCCTTATAATTAACTTTGTTGATGGTGTCTTTTTTGATACAGAAATTTTAAATTTATTTGTAGGTAAATTTATTAGGCAAATGATTTCTGCTTTTTATTACTTATTTAGAAATTCCTTTCCTATACCAAGATCATAAAGCTGTTTTTCTAGTGTTTTCTTCAAATTGTCTTAAAATTTAGTTTTTCAACATTTATGTCTTTAATATATCTGGTATTGACTTTTGTGTAGGGAATTTGTTTTCTCCCATGTGGAAAGTTATTTGTCCTAATGCTGTTTATTGAATGTGCCATCTTTTCCCTACTGATCTGTGTTGTTTGCCTTTTCTGTCGTATACCAGCATTCTCTTTCACATATCTTGTTCTCTTTCTAGGTTCTCTATTCTGTTTCATTCATCTGTTGATCTATTGGTGTACCAGTAATGCACTGTCTTAATTAAAGTACTTTTATGATAAATCTTGATGTCTGGCCAGGCAGAACCCCCAGTCCTTTTTGGTTTTTTGCAGAATTGCATTGGATCTTTACTCTTTTGTATGCTATTTATTTATTTATTTATTTTATTATTTTTTTTATAATTTTTTTTCCCCCCCAAAGCCCCAGTAGATAGTTGTATGTCATAGCTGCACATCCTTCTAGTTGCTGTATGTGGGACTCGGCCTCAGCATGGCCGGAGAAGCGGTGCATCAGTGCACGCCCGGGATCGAACCCGGGCCGCCAGCAGCGGAGCGTGCGCACTTAACCGCTAAGCCACGGGGCCGGCCCTTGTATGCTGTTTATAATCACTGTCTAATTCTGTGGAAAATCTTTCTGGGATTTTGATTGGCTTTACATTGAATTTGTTAAGAAGTTTCTTCTATTCATATTTTTCCCTTTGATGGTGTAAAAGCTGTAGATTATATTTTCATCCTTTTTATTTTCTAGCTATGCCTATATATTTAGTGTCTCTATCCACCTACAAATAATATAGTGATTTAGAAGATTTTAACCCCAAAATTCCATCTCTCACCTTCCACATTACTATTACATAATAGTTTAGTTCCACCTTTTTTCTCTTACCAGCCTTATTGAGATGTAACTCACATGCCATACAATTTACCCATTTAACATATACAAGTTTTTTAGTATATTCAGAGTTGTGCAGCCATCACCACACTCTAATTTTAGAACATTTTTATGCCCCCTAAAAGAGACTTGCTACCCATTAACTCTCACTCTCCATTTCCCCAAACCTCTAGCCCCCAACCCTAATCAGTCACTAATCTACTTTCTGTCTCCATAGATTTGCCTACTCTGGACATTCATATGAATGGTATCATACAATATGTGGTATTTTGTGACTGTCTTCTTTCACCTAGCATAATGGCTTTTTTGGTTTGTTTGTTTGTTTTTGATGAGGGGGATTGGCCATGAGCTAACATCTGTTGCCAGTCTTCCTCTTTTTTTGCTGAGGAAGATTGGCCCTGAGCTAACATCTGTGCCCATCGTCCTCTATTTTTTTTTTCCGTATGTGGGACACCACCCCAGCATGGCTTGAGGAGTGGTGTGTAGGTCCACACCTGGGATCCGAACCTGT